TTATGGTGTAACCATACCCATGGGCGGATACTTGGTCACATTCTCTGTCTTACTCCAGCCAGTGCACCCATCCTCTGCAAATGAAAGGGAAAAAAATTCTTAGGTACAAGAGGACTTTGAAGAGGACACAGAAGTACTTCATGAAGATGATCACACATATATATAAATTAAAATTTTAAATGCATTTATTTAAATAAAGGTCATGAATAAAAGAATATATGAATTATTTTGGTACAAAAAACTAGAAATCCTTACATAGTTTCACAATACATACTTTCTATAAACTTTCCAAAGACTATTAAATTATATAATTTTAAACTAGCAATTTTTTTTTTAAGATTTATTTATTTATTTATTTATTTTTAATTTGACCAGAGGATATGGGAGAGAGAGAGAGTGCACGAGGGAGAAAGAAAGTGAGAAAGTAAGAAAGGAAGTCACCAGGTTTGGGACTCAAACCATGGTCGGCCATGTGGGAGTCTAGTGCCCTTAACCACCTTACCGCCTGCTGTTCCCATCCTGCTTTTAAAATATATGTCTAAAAGAGCCAAATGCCCACAAACAGATGAATGGTTAGAAAAACTGTGGCAAATATACTCAATGGAATACTATTTAGCCCTAAAAAGCAACAAAACCCTGGCTTTTGACAGGAAGTGGATGAATATCGAAGACTTCACTTGCTGAGTGAAGCAAGCCAGGCTATGAAGGAGAGGCATTGTATGTCCCCACTTAATATATACCGAGTGTCTCCACTCTATGACTGAAACTAATTCACTAAAGGATATAGAAACACGGTATATAGATGTAAATACCAGATATAGTATGTGTGCAAGAGAAGGGTCTGAGGGAGGACATTTAGAAGAAAAATAGGGAAGCAAAGTATTAATGTCACAAAGAAATGTGGTATTATCTGTTGAGGATATTTTGTAGTTTTATCAACTGTATTAGGGAGAAATGTTCACCTGTTGAAATATCCATTTTGTAAGACAAATAATTGAATGTATAAAAGAAAATGAAATGAAAAAAAATTTAAAAAAGTTATACCAGATGACAAGAAAAAATTTGCAAGTTTTCTTATAACTCAAGAATTTGGTCAGATAAATAAAACAAAAAACTGTGTGTGTTACTCATTTCCATATCATTTCTGTTTTGTCTTTATTTATCTATTTTTTAGTGTTTGTAATAAGAGATGGAAAGAGACAGTGAGAGAGATGAGATGGAAGTGGAGTGGGGACAGGAGGGGGAGGTGATAACCATGCCACAATCCCTTCTCCTCCATTCTGCTCTCAGGATTTTAAGAACGTGTGCACACGCATCCAGTGCATTTTCCAAATCGCCAGGTCCCGGACTCTAACTGCACAGCTGGCCTTGTGGGATCCAGCTGCCTTAACCATGCCACCTGCCTGGTTCCCTTTCTGTTTTATCTTAACATAGGTTTCTTGTCAATGCTTTTCCTATCATTTTAAAAAGTGTAAAATGTTGAGATTGTCTAGGATAGCTTTCCTATATCTTTGAGATTAAGAAGAAAATCTTGTATGTTGTATCTAGATTTAGGGCTCTAGTCGCCTATGTATACAAATGATTCAGTAAATATTTTTAGTTAGATTGTCAAATAATCAGGACAGCCCTTAGCTGTGTTGTTTAGTGAGCTGAGTCCCACGAAACAATGCAAATTGGAGTCCTGAACTCTAGCCTGAAAAACACGTGTGTGTGTGTGTGTGTCTGCGTGCGCGCACACGCACCCGAAATCCCCAAAGGAGGGATAAGTGGAGGGAAAGGGACTGTGCCTATTCCCTGGGGGTGGGGGTGCTTCCTCAGTCTCCCTCTCTCTGTCTCTGACAAATGCACAGCCCCCTAGG